TCGCGTGCCCCAGTCATTTTGCAAGAGGGTTGTGGGGGATTGGGGAGGTCTTCCGGAACAGGGAGGCGAGAACGTAAGAAGCGGCATGCCAGATTTAGCGATTGCTGAAAGGCCATCTGGATTCCTGATTCAAAGGTCGATAAGCCACCCTTGAATGAAGATTAGCTACTACTGCTGCCTTTGACAGCCGACACAGACCTAACAGGAGCAATAAAGGTTGCATGACCACGTCATGGGCTCTGGTTCAGGCAGGTAGGTACCTTGCGAAAGAGACCACACGCATCATGCGCAAGCAGGCTCGAAAAGATAGATGGAGGCGCAATGCCCACGTGACTCTCGCACCCAGCCACCTAGGGGTACGTATCCCCTTACACAGGCACGGGAAACAGGGACAGCAACCGTGGCCGTGCAACACCTCAGGCTGTGTTTCGGGCCTGTCGCCTCTTAGTTTGAGCGTCTCACCCAGCTGTTCCGCCCGTTCCCCCAACCATCTTCTTGCAACTCCTCGTCTTCATCTCCCTTCCTGCCACCTTCACCTCTATCCGTCAAAACGAATCGTCAATCCCGCACTCACCTCCACACAACCGCAACAATCAGTCCACATCAGTAAACGCTTGATTGTGACTCCCCGAAAACACTCGCGCCTTTCTCTCAAATCATCTTGCCCGACAGGCTTGCGTCTTCAATCGAGATCACCCCAGCGACCACACACCCAACACCACCATGCCCGAGGACGCCCCCTACGACCCCTACATCCCCAGCGGCCAGGCTGGCGCTGCGTCTCATGGAGCCGAGTCACAGCAGGGCGGCAATGCGCGCACCCAGGCGCTGCAAGCGGTAAGTTGCTCTCGCATTTCCTTGAGTGACGTCGTCGGTGGATTTTATTCTGGCCTCCTCCGCGGCAACGAATCGGCCAACGGGCGACCAACGACCCTGCTTTGCGATTTGTCCGGACGATACGACGCCTGCTCACTTGCGACGAATGAAATGGCAATCTTCCGGCGCGTCCGCCTCGCAGCGCAGCATGTTTGCTTCTGCAAAACGACTACGGGAGCTTCGAAGCTCGTCCCCCCAACCACCGAGTGGTGCGGCTTGGCAGAAGACCCTGCGTCCCATGACGACGCGTTCCAGTTTCCCAGCAACGAATATCTCCACCACCCATGGCGACGCCTTTCGCAGAATTCATTTCGAGCATCGTCGCCAGTCTTCATGTCAATCCAGAATTACCATTTAACGTCGCTGTACCTAGAGTCTGATGACCATGGCTGACGTGTTTCTATTTTTAGCAAATCGACGACACTGTCGGCGTCATGAGGGATAACATCAACAAGGTGTCCCAACGTGGCGAGCGTCTCGATGCGCTGCAAGACAAGACGGACAACCTGGCCGTGTCAGCCCAGGGCTTCCGCCGCGGTGCCAATCGCGTTCGCAAGCAGATGTGGTGGAAGGATATGAAGATGCGCATGTGCCTCATCGTCGGTGTCATCATTCTTCTCCTCATCATCATCATTCCTACTGGTACGTGAAATGTACTCTCCCGTGCTTCTGGAAGCAGTCAACTGACACTGTTCTCCTCACAGTCATTGCGACCAAATAAGCTGCCTTGCCCAGGTTGCGGTTCTCTTTTGAGGGGGATTGCAAAGCTTCTCACGACACGATTACGACACGGCCGATCCACCTCGCGACCTCCGAGCTAGGCGGAGACACCAGCGCTCGGTGGAGGAATTGGAAACGGAGGCGCAGATGCAGGTGGCTGGCCACGCCACAGTGAAGGGAACGAGACTTGTTTTTTTTTTTTTTTGAGCGGCACAGTTTGTGTTTGTCTGAGTACCAACACGTTGTCTTTAGTGGCGATCCTATAGTGCATGGCTCTCGTAAGAGATGCAGACGAGACTAAGAGCTAGGTGTCTGCTATCTCATGACCAACGAGGGCTATGACTTCGGGACCACCCGAATGTGTATGAATGGTGACGGCGTTCCTCCGATTGAGTACATGTACCTTTGACCGTGAAATGTTTCCTCTGCTGAAGTGCTGACGTATTGTACGAGACGAGGTCGAATCGTGTGCAACCGTAGCTCCGAGGGTGCGGGTGGTTGTGACTGCTCGTGAGCACTTGTTGGACAGGATGCCACTCGTTATCACTCGCCGTACTCCGTCTATGTCAGATTGATCACAAGTGAAGTACGCTTTGAGGTAGGCATATTTATATGGCGTATGGGTCGCCGCAATCCACAGGTTTAAGAGGACCCGTCATCGTGCCTTATCAGATCGTTGAGCCAACCAGTGTTGTCGGTGATCCGAGGTGATCCGAGTAACTACTAGGGTGGGCTCCTCTCCTCTCCTGTTCCACATTCAGTCGTCCACACCCGGGATATCTTCTGGCTGTTCAGGTCGCGGGACAATCTGCGCAATGAGGCGTTCCAGGTCTGCAAGGCACGCTGTTTAGCTTTCCTTCTTGGTTTTCTTCTCATGGAAAAATCAATCAGATGCACCTGGAGCTTGTCGACATGCCATTGCGAAGTGCAAGCTGCTACAGTCCGTGTACGAGACCGTCCGCCCTACAAGAACCAAGCGAGCTAGGCGTCCTGGGTCCTGCGACCACTTACTGGCAAGCGTTCAAGCGTCTGCCTTTCTGGGTGTCACCTGGGCGCGTATCATTCCCACTTGAATCCAATGTTTAACTTGATTGCCGTACCAGTCCCTCCTCCTTCAGGGAACCGAGCCGTTGACGATTCGAGCTTGATGCTGCGATGCGTGGTGGAGACTTGGCAAGCCCAAAGGAGACCAGGATACTGCGGCCATGATAGCCTCTTCCTGGCCTGGTTATGCTAGCATGTGAGTTCATTGAGCAGAATGCACCACTGCAGCGATAAGAGGTTGGAAAGCGTGCGTGCGGCAGGCATGCAAAAGCGGTGAGGCTGTCGGATTGGCCGGCATCGGGCAAGCGCATCCCACTTGAAGCGGTTTCGGTCAATTTTTTCCTTCCTGCTGCCAGTGTCAGTGGTCCTGGTCTGTACCTGCTGGTGGTGAGAGCCCAATTGCCGGCTATGACTCCACTGGCCAATTGGTGCCCCTCACTCTCCTCCAAGGCACAAACCCGCAGGGACCACCCACTACAGCATCATACCTTGCCTGGGTAAGGTAGATACCCTGCACTGACATCGATCAACACTACTTGGGGGGGCCTCTGGTCGTCTTCTTTCTACACCCACCTCTGCTCTTCCGAGTCTCTTCTCTCGCCGAATGCCCTTTGCCCACTTCCATTCGGAACGCCTCGCTCTGTCCTGTTTGACCAAGCATTGATCCGACCGGTGCTATAAGCCAGGGAGAGACAATTGCTGAATCCTGTTATCTACGACCCGACGTATCTCGTGTGATTCATATCTAGGCCACTCGGTAGGTAACGTACCTTCCCCAAGGATGCGCTTTGTCTTCCCACCCATTGCACCCGACCAGCAGCCCATTGAATCACTGTTTCACGATCGTTCGGTTTACTGATTCTTCTCGCCAGTCACGATGTTCTCAGCAGGTTCTGCCATTATTAGGGCCGGCGCCCGCCGAGCCGTACCTCGGATCCGACACCGACAAACCCTTTCCAGGCCTCGCCCACGGAAACCAGGCCCTCTCCCTCGCCGGGTCCGCGCTCTGTCGACCACTGAGATCCAGAACAAGCAAGCCACCAGCGACCGCACCCGTGCTATCATCATTAGGACGCTGAGCCAGATCGGCAGCCGACGTGAGGGACAGCAATACCTCTCGTACTTTACGTCCGTCTCTTCGCAAAAGTTCGCCGTCATCAAGGTCGGCGGTGCTATTCTTACCGACTACCTCGATGAGCTCTGCGAGAACATTGCCTTCCTGTACGAGGTCGGCCTGTATCCCGTCATTGTTCATGGCGCCGGTCCCCAGCTCAACCGCCTTCTCGAGGAGGCTGGTGTCGAGCCCGAGTTTGAGGAGGGCATTCGCGTCACCAACCCCAAGACTTTGACCGTTGCTCGCAAGCTCTTCCTCGAGGAGAACATGAAGCTGGTCGAGAAACTCGAGAGCCTCGGCGTCCGCACTCGCCCTCTGACCTGGACCCTGACCGCCGACTACCTCGATAAGGAGAAGTGGAATCTTGTTGGCAAGATCACCGAGGTCAAGAAGGAGCCCATTGAGCAAGCCATTTCGCACGGCTACGTGCCTATCCTGACCTCCATGGCGGAGACCCCCGAGGGCCAGATCCTCAACGTCAATGCCGACGTTGCTGCGGCCGAGCTCGCCAGGGCGCTCGAACCGCTGAAGGTTGTCTACCTCTCTGAGAAGGGCGGCCTCTTCAACGGCGAGTCGGGTGACAAGATCTCGCACATCAACCTGGATGAGGAGTATGACTACCTCATGTCTCAGTCATGGTGCCGTTACGGAACGCGCCTCAAGATCAAGGAGATCAAGGAGCTGCTGGAGACCTTGCCCCGCACCTCGAGCGTCGCCATCATCCACCCCAGCGACCTGCAGAAGGAGCTCTTCACCGATTCCGGCGCCGGTACTCTGATCCGCAGGGGCGACAAGATTGAGGTTGCCGACAGCATCTCGCAGATCAGCGATCTCGCCAAGGTTAAGGAGTGTCTCATCCGGGACCGTGAGGGCATGGATGCCGAGGCTACCGTCGATCGGTACATCGACTTCTTGAAGGACACCCCTTTCAAGGCGTACTACGATGAGCCTTACAACTGCATGGCCATTGTCCTGCCTCCCGGCAAGGATCGTTCGCACGCCACTCTGGCCACCCTGTCGGTAACCAAGGAGGGCTGGCTCAGCAATGTGACCGAGAATGTGTTCAACGCTATCAAGAAGGATCACCCCAAGATGGTTTGGACTGTCAGCGAGGAGGACGAGAACCTCACTTGGTTCTTCGGCAAGTGCGACGGCAGCTTCGTCAACAAGGGCGACGTTCTCTTCTGGTACGGTGTCGACGACTTCCAGGAGCTCGGCGCGTTGACGGAAGAGTTCAACGCTGTTGGTCGGGCCATGCTGGGCGACTCGAACCTCGAGTCCCGCCTGCGCCGCGCCGCGCAAACGTCCAACAGCAACCTGGCGTCGCACGCTGCGTCGTCTCGTTAAAGCCCTTGCCATGGTCTGCAGACAGCAGTGGCCACCATCGCTGCGGGTTTCGGGGCTGAAGCATCGGCCAGGCGCACTGATAGCACGACTGTGAAGCCCAGACCACCCAAAGCTGGATGAACGCCTTCAACAATGTGTTCCCATGCGTGCCGGGCCCACGACCGACCTGGGGCTATACAGAGGATGAAATCGGAGGACAGGGATATGATTGCCATTCAGACAATCATGGCCGAGCACCAGCAGTTTAAACCCTCCTTCGGGGGATCCGGTGTTGGTTAGTTCGACATTCAAGCCAGCGGTGCGTTGCATGATGCTCAAGATAGGTTGCTCTACTCTGCACAGTTCTTGTGCTGCAGACTCTTTGACCTTGATTGGGTTGGTGGTTTGGAAGGACTCCTTGGGAGGTGGGGAGGATCTTTTTCACGGCGATCCCCTGATTTGATGCCTCTTTTCACTTGCGTTTGTCGTTGCCCTTGAGGGGTTCCCTTTCAATCTGGTTGTATATATGGCGTAAGAGGTACCTACTGAGGAAATTTTGACTCGAATCGCAATGGACATGGACCTGAAGCGTGGCGACAGAAGCACCGCGAAATGCTTCTGACGCTGACCATGATGCTCAGTTCCTCAGGCTGAGAGACCCACGACAAGTCAAGGCGGCTGCTGAGTCACTGGGACGGGAGATGGGGCACGGACAGAAAGGTATCACACCAACATTGAGGAGGGATCGACGAACCGAGCCCGCGCGCCTTACGAACGCTACCTTGAACTGCCGATTGAACTACTCGGCAACGCAGGCTCGGGCAGCTGCTTGACGAACTGCTGATCTGCCGGGGCGTTCGCTTGGAGTGGGAAATCAGCATTCTTGTCAAGCAGGCAGCCATGCAGCCGTTGCTGTGAAGCCCGAGCACCTTCGGAAAGATGCCCATGCGTGTTTCCATTGCTCGCAGGATCTCAAGCACGTTTCAACACCATCCCAGCTTCCCATTGGATACTTATATGCCAAAGCACACTACTGGAGTCGAGCGAGTGGATCCTGATCTCGACGACGAATACCTTTCGAGAAGGATCACAACCTTGGCCGAAGCGCAAGCGCGCAGCCAAGAGAAACAAAAAAGCTTGCTGTCATAGGCATGCTTGTTGCCATTGGCATGAGGGAGTTTCGCCCTTTCACCACGGAAACGGCCTGCGGTCCATCCTATCTTCTCTTACCCCTTAGCTGAAGATGAGAGAGGTTGGATATAGCTGAGGGTGAAGCTTGGCGGGCCCTGGAAGATTGGTCATGGGTGCGCGACCTTTTAGTACTCGGCCAACGGCTGCGTCTCAGCTCCCCTGTGCGCCTGCTGTTTGTTGCACGCCCGTCAGTCTGCAATGGGGAATGGTGCGGGGCGCATCTACTTGGGACGTCAAAGAACGAACGTGGAAAAGAGGGCAGGGGGCAACATAGACTGGTTTTGAAGAGGGCTCGTGGCACGCTGCGAGTTGCAAAGTCGTTCAGATGCCCAGGATGGAGGGGGTCGTCGTCGATTTCTGGCTCGCTTGGCAAGTGCCTGGCGCGGTGGTATCGAAGGCAGAGGGCACTGACCTTGCGTGATCAGATCTTGCTCGAGTCTGACGGCCTCGTGATGTTCTGTCATTTGGGCTGTTGCTATATATATCGAGTGAGGGTTCCCCTGAGAACGATGGTGTTTCCCGCGTTTTCGCTCTTCAGGCAAGACCTCGCAGCCAAACTGAGCTTTCGATTCCCACTCCCGCACCGTCCTGGTTGACGGTTTTAATTCAATCGTCCTTTCTAGTTCCTCGTCTCAACTCTATCTTTCAACATGTACTTCTCTGGCTTCCTGACGCTCGCCCTGGCGGCGGCGGCGGCGTCCGCTCAGCAGCAGTTGGCTCAGTTGCTGAGCCAGACCCCTGAGTTGAGCACCCTCAACTGTGTGTTGTGCCTAATGAGCTCAGCAGTTTGCGCAATGTGCTAACAAAGAAACCCTCTGCAGCTCTCTTGGCTACGGTACCTCAAGTCGGCCAGATGCTTTCCACTGCCAACGGCATCACGATCCTCGCCCCCTCAAACCAGGCGTTTGATAAGTTCATGCGCGACCACCCGGACCAGGCGCAAATGTCGAACAACCCACAAGCTGTGACGGCTCTTCTGCAGTACCACGTCGTCATGGGCACGGTCATGTCGAACCAGCTGAGCGCTCAGCCCGTCTTCGGCCAGACGCTCCTCAACGCACCCTTTGCCAACGTGACAGGCGGCCAGCGTGTCGAGCTCTCCCTCGTCGACAACCGCGCCATGATCCTCTCGGGCTACAAGCAGATGAGCATGGTCACGACCGCTGACGTTCAGTTCACCGGCGGCGTCGTGCACATTGTCGACACGGTCCTCGCCGTCCCCGGCTCGCCCGCCCGCACCGCCGTCGACATGGGCCTCACGTCAGCGGCCGGCGCCCTGGGGCGCGCGCAGCTCGTCGACGCCGTCAACGCCATGCGCGACGTGACCATCTTCGCGCCCAGCAACGCCGCCTTCCGCGCCATTGGGGCCACGGCCGACCAGCTCCAGCCGCAGCAGCTCGGCGCCGTGCTGCAGTACCACGTCCTCGACCGTCAGGTCCTCTTCAGCAGCATGCTCGCGCAGGCCCGCGCAGCAGGTGGCCAGCAGGGCACCATGCTGCGCACGCTGTCCGGGGCCATGGTCTCGGTGCGCATGCAGGACGGCTCCGTTTTTGTCAACTCGGCGCGCGTTATCATGGCCGACGTCATCACGAGCAACGGCGTCGTGCATGTACTCGACAAGTGAGTTCTCTGCCCCCCCCCTTCTCCTTCGACTGTGCCGTGCAGAATCCGACGTGTTGGGGTCCAAGAAGACTAACAGGCGATCCTGCAGCGTTCTCAACCCCGCGGCTACCCAGCTGACGCCCGACATGTCGCGTCAGACGCAGGCGCCTGCATTTGACGGCGCGCAAAAGTCCAATCAGGATCCGTTCACACAGGGCATCAACCCGACGACGACCATCAGGCCGGCTATGCAGACGATGAGGCCGAATGCGGCGGGACACGCGGCTGCGCCGGTGGCCGCGGTCATGGGCTTGTTCGGCGGTGCGGTGGCTCTGGCTAACCTGTGAGGTTGACGTGGAGGAAAGAAGGGGGGGAGGGGTAATGTGATTTGTTACTATAGCGTGTACACGATAGCCAACTTGAGTCAAAATTTTCTCTTGTCATTGACGGTCTTCGAATTATGGTATGTATAGGACTAACATCTCGGTTTGAATTGGAGAGTTCGGAGCTATGTGATGTGATGTGTTGTGCGGACCTCTCTCCTTTCAACCCAAGGAAGGCCTTCTTGCTCGGCTCGCTCTCCATCTCTCGGCCACTGCAGCTGATTGAGAATAGGCGTGTTCGGCAAGGGCATATCATGCCTCTGGTGCAGCGTGCAGCCTGATCGCCCCGGCTTTTTTCTATCTCCGAGCGAGGCTTCAGAGGCGGTCGTGAAGACACGGTGCCGTTTCATGGGCACACTGATCGAGGCCTAGGCGATCGGCCGTTTCCCGACTTTTCCCCTGGCGTACGTCAGGCACACCGACTGACTACCTTTCACCAGCACGCCGCGGTGGCCGCTGCACTGAACCCCATAGCAACTCCTGTCGTGATGCTTTTTCGTGTAGGTAGGGATGCTCCCGTGGTGCAAAAACTGATCTTCCGCCTCATAGTTGATCGAGCAGTCGTTTTCTCCTCCGGTCTATCAGCTCCTCCTGCACCTCCTCTAACGTTGGCAGCACCCAGACCTGGCCGTCCCCCGAATCACCAGGCAGCGGCTCCCAGCCTGGCGGCGCCTCCTGCTTGCCCGTGTTGGCCATGTGTTCGGTCGCCTCGGCCTCCTTCTGGGCCTCGTACTGCAGCAGCTCGTCGTCCTCCTCGTCGGGCGCGTAGCCGTAGTAGGCGGCGTCGACGTAGACACGCGGCCTCTGCTCGCGGCCCTTGGCGGCCTTGTCCTCGTTCCCCAGCGACCGCGCGGCCTCGAACAGCTCCTTGACGCCCGGCAGCTCCTTGGCGCGGCCGAAGTAGCGGTACCCCTTGCCGCCGCCGGGGATCTCGCGGCCGGCCTCGTCGTACATCTTGGCGCCGCCGCGCATGTAGTTGGGCCCGCCGAGGTTGCGGATCTGCACCTCCCACATGTACTTCTCGCGCATGAGCTTGTTGATCTCGTCGTTGAGGTCGCGCACCTGGTAGTCGCTGAGGCTCGTCTCGTGGATGCGCGACACCTTGCGGGAGATCTCCTTGAGCACCTGGCCGCGCCACTTCTCGCACGTCGGGATCGCCGTCACCTCTGTGATCATCTTGGGCCGCCGTGTGCGCCCGACGTCGATGATTCCGAGGTCCGCGGCCTGGGCCTCGCGGAAGCGGAAGAGCATCGACTGGGCTTTTTCTGAGTTGCGCGCCTGCACTCATTTCTCGTTAGCATTGCCTGCCGCATTGGCGCGCAGACGTGGGGAGGATGCCTGGGGCAGCTGACCATTTTTTGAAGTAGTCCCCGGAGGGTGGTGCTGAGGGAGCAGGAATTGTGGGAGACCTAGGGTGGTCGGAGATGTCTGGTATGGTGTTGAGGTTGGAGGATGAAAGTCAATGAATGGCGAGGCTGATGGGACGAGGGTCGTGGCTGGCGTGAATGCTGTACCGTAGAGTCGGCGTTCCAATGGCAACTTGCTGGGCACCTGGTCACGTGAAGGACTACATTTGGCGCATTATGGTTCGAAGTACTGACTGCCTTGCTAACAGGATAAGGTGTACTGGAGCACCCAACTCACGGGAAGCGAAATAGTCTTCCAAGGCCATGCTTCGTAGCAACAGACTCGCAGTTTGTAGCTCATGTATGTTCGGATTCTTGTCTTGCACCAACGTCTGCCAATACTCTGGGTGATTCGCAATGCCAGTTCAATGCCCGCTCATTCGTCACCAGTGAATGCATGAGTACACGACACAAGACCACTCTGGGGACTCGAGATCCATTGCCAATGGAATATCATGCGCGTCCTTAAAGTTCTGGTGATATGAATATGGTGCTCCAAGTGTGTTTGACCACGCGTTGGGCTTCTTTGTTCGTTCACCTGGAGACATGATCAAAAGGTGATGGTGAATGCAGAGCTGCACGTGACATATGCCATGAGGAGCTGCCAGAATTCGTGCTTCCCCAAATCCAAGGCGGGACCGGGGCATCTTACGTAGCTCCACCTCCACATCCTTCGACCACCTACCTCCCAACACCCATCCACTCCGACAAGCTTCGAGGCACCACCCAGCTCAGCCCTCGTCGTCTCGCGAAATCTACCCGAGTCGAACGAAAGATACCTGGGAAGCTTCTGGCAAGTTCTCACAATGCGGCCCTCGCTCTGGCGCTCGCCGGCGTTACTGCTGGTCGCTGCCACTTCGGCCGTCCAAGCCATCTACCAGGATGAGGTCGGCGACATTGACTACCACCACGAACTCATCGGCCTGCCGCAGATCGAGACGACTCTCTTCCACCGCCCCAGGAGAGACGACAAGGCGAGCCTCCTCTACACCCTGAGCGACGTCGGCGTCGTCGGCGCCATCAACCCTAGCAATGGCGGGGTTGTCTGGAGACAGTCCCTGACGGGAAACATCACCAACGGGGGAGGCCACCTGCGCGCCGCCGAGGGAGAGAACTGGATCGCGACTGCCTACGGCCACTCGGTCCAGGCGTGGAACGCCCTATCCGGACGCAGCGTCTGGTGGCTGGATTTCACTGGCGAAGTCAAGGACCTCGAGGTCATGGAGCTGACCGAAAACGACCGCAAAGACGTGCTGGCGCTGTTCGAGGAGGACAACGGCGCGACGACCCTGAGGAGGCTCAATGGCCAGACCGGCGCTGTGGTCTGGGAGATCAGCGATGCCGTCAACGACGTCCCCATCCAGGTCTCGACCAACATTGAGAAGATCTTCGTCGTCAGCCTCTACGGCACCCTGACCTCGTACGGCCTGAGGGTCTCCGTCCTCGACATCCACACCGGCAAGCGCGTCAACGAGATTCTTCTCGGCACCAAGGGCGATGTCGACAGCAAGGACGACATCATGTTTGTTGGCGCCAACTCGGCCTCTCCCATTGTTGCCTGGGCCGACAAGGGCCGCTCCAAGCTCTACGTCAACGTCCTCGGCACCAAGAAGAAGCACGAGTTCCCCCTGCCTGCTGACACCACCGAGGTCGCCATTCATGCGCCTCACCACTTGCAGTCGGAGCCTCACTTCCTCGTGCACAGCCGCACGCCCACCGCCAACAAGGCCGACGTCTACCACATTGACCTCAAGACCAGCGCCGTCACCAAGGCCTACGAGCTTCCTCTGCTGCCTGGCGTCGGTGCCTTCTCGACCAGCTCCCAGGGTGCCAATGTCTGGTTCACCCGCATTACCGACGACGAGGTCATCCTCACCTCCTCCGAGTCGCATGCCATCCTCGGACGCTGGCCGTACAAGCCCAACACGGAGAGCTCGCAGGTGATCCACGGCGTGTCCGAGGTCATCAGGAAGCCCGACGACTCGTACGCTGTTCGAGCCGCCGCTCTCACCCGCTCGGACGACTGGGTGCTTGTCCGCAACGGCGATCTGGCTTGGAGCCGCCCTGAAGGTCTGACGGGCGCCGTTGCCGCTGCTTTCGCCGAGTTTCCCGAGAATGCCCAGTACGCCAAGGTGCTCGAGGAGGAGGCCCATAGCAACGTCGTGTCCGCCTATGTCCACCGCGTCCAGCGTCACCTCAAGGACCTCGAGCAGCTGCCGGACTGGCTTGCCTCTATTCCCCAGCGACTCATCAGCAGCATCACGGGCTCTGACGCGCCTGTCAAGAAGGACGGCCTTCACCGGGACAGCTTTGGCTTCAACAAGCTCGCAATCTTGGCCACTCGTCGTGGCAGGGTTTACGGCCTCGACATTGGCAACCACGGAAAGGTTGCGTGGTCCTCCGCCGCATTTGCCATCCCTTCGGGCCAGACCTGGGATGTGAAAGGTATGTTTGTCGAGGACCACAGGGGCCTCGTCACCATGCGTGGATCCAACGGCGAGCAGGTCGTGGCCAAGACCACCACAGGCGAGATCGTCGAAGTGCTGCCCGAGGGCGCCTGGCCCAAGGTGGAGGCCACTGCCATTGTCGACAGCGCTTCCGGCCAATGGCTTCTTCCCATTGGTGTCGATGGTCAGGTTGGCGACGTCCCTGCCGAGTGGACGCCCAAGCAGACGGTCGTTGTCCGCAGCGCCGACGGCGGGCTCAAGGGCCTGACCTGGTCAGGCGTCGAGGGCTCTGCCAAGGAGGTTGTTTCCTGGACCTTCCTGCCACCCGGCGGACAGACCATTGTCGAGGTGGCCACGCGTGCCTCGCACGATCCTGTCGCTCAGATCGGAAGGGTTCTTGGTGATCGCAAGGTCAAGTACAAGTACCTTAACCCCAACACGGCCGTCGTTGCGGCCACGAGCGCGGCAACGTCCACCCTGACCATCTACCTCTTGGACACCGTCTCTGGCCAGATCCTGTCCTCCAAGACGTACGAGGGCGTCGACGCGTCCAAGAGCATTGACTGCGCCGTTGCAGAGAACTGGTACGCCTGTACCTTCTTCGGACAGTACGCACTCAAGGATGCCCAGGGCCATGCGCTTTCCGGGCAGTCGCTCAAGGGATACCAGATCGTCGTCACGGACCTGTACGAGAGCAACGAGTCCAACGACCGCGGCCCTCTGGGCTCCGCTGCCAACTTCTCCTCTATTGAGACGGTCGATGAGCCCACGGGAGCCCCCCTTCCCTTCCTCGTGTCGCAGGCATGGGTCCTGTCCGCGCCCATTGTGGCTCTTGCCGTCACACAGACGCGTCAGGGCATCACCAACAGGCAGCTCCTCGGCTACCAGCCCGAGACGCACGGCATCGCTGGCCTGCCCCGCCAGGTCCTCGAGCCTCGCCGCACTGTAGGTCGCGATCCCACGGCCCAGGAGGTCGAGGCCGAGGGCCTCATCCGGTACACACCTGTCATCGAGGTCGATCCCCGCCAGGTCATCACCCACCAGCGCGACGTCATCGGCGTCAAGGACATCATCGCGACCCCGGCCCTGCTCGAGAGCACAACTCTCGTGTTTGCCTACGGTATTGACATCTTCGGCACCCGCCTCGCGCCGAGCCTGTCGTTTGACATTCTCGGCAAGGGCTTCGACAAGGTGACCCTCATCGGCACCGTGCTCGCCCTCGTGGCTGGCGTGGCTGCGTTGAAGCCTATTGTAGGTCTTTCTCCTCCTCGTTTTCGCCCGGGCTGGTGGCGTCCCTTGCGTATCGAAAGCACTCGCTAACAATCTACAGGTCCGGAGGAAGCAGACGGATCTGCGCTGGACAGCGCCCAGGTGATCCGAAGCATGGCGGAGCTAGTTGTACATTACGAACAGACCATAATAGATATCCATTCAAGTTGACGTGCTGTCGAGGCTTCCCGATAATGGGGTGCAACGACAAAAGTCGGGTGAGGCGCATTGCTCATGTTGACAGCTCGCTCATGCAAGCCAATCTATCCTGTCATTATTGGGCCAGAATCTCCTCAACGTTCAGTTTCCTCCCGCGCCTCGATCGTCACGATCTCCGTGACCCACTCCGCAGGATGTTGTCCCAAGCGCGCGGTCAGCGTCGGGCTAGGGGTGGAGTCGGTTGCGACATAATCCCGCAGATTCGACCCCGATGACACAGCATCTGGCGAGATGGCAGAGTGGTCTAATGCGATAGACTAGAAATCTATTCACTTCGGTGGCGCAGGTTCAAATCCTGCTCTCGTCGTTCTACTTTTGCTGACACGGCCGAGGTTGAGTCAATTCACGTTTTGTCTGCGTGGTGCTCTGATAGGCTTGTGATTCCCTTACCTTGACGAAAATGCTGCAGCAAGTTCTCAGCGAGTGGGAGACAGATGAGCGACGGGAACCAGGAATCAGCGACATGGATCATGGGCAGGGAATTTACGAGTGGCATGTCATTCAGCGGTTTGGAGTCAAGGCTTTCCAATTCAGTCAAAATCAAATGATATCTAGCGTGCGCCCCCCCCCTTAAACAAAAGCAGAAAAATGGAACATGCATCCGTCAGACACCATCACCCCAACCCATATGTCAGCCTACATACTTACACAATTATGTTCGTTCGAGCGGCTCAGCTCCTACCGCAGCACGCCGCCGTGGGCTGCGGCTCGCCCAAGAAGGTCGTCTCGCCTTCGATCCACGACTTGGTGACGATCCTGCACACCCCGCCGGCCACGGGCGTCGTGTACAGACCCGGCGGCAACGTCAAGGTGCCGTGCACGACGACGGGCTTGGTCGAGGCGGCGGGCTTCGCCGTCGTTGTGGTCGTGTCGACCGCTGTCGGGAGCGCCGAGACGATGCCCGTCTCGGTCTCCTCGGCCGTGCTGCCGGCGCCTCGCGTCGAGCTTGGTGGGTTGTAGGGCGGAGGGGGCGGAACAGAGAGCGAGCCGGGTAGAGTCTTGGTCGAGAATGTGGACTGCGAACCCGAGATGGAGACCGGCAGCGAAGTTGGCGCTGCGGTGGAGGGGGATGCAGGCTCTGATCCGGACGTGTATGGCGAGGCTGAAGAAAGCGTGGAGTAGGGGACGGATGAGGGCTGTGCCGATGGTGGTGCCGATGGGACAGAATAGACCGGTGCCGATGAGACGACAGACGGGGCCACTGAGGGAATGATGGAGGAGGGCACCAGAGATGGCGAGATTGATGGCATACCAGAGACGGGCGTCGAAGGGTCCGCAGAAGAGGGGACTGGCGGCTCACTGGACGGTGCTACTGACGGTGGGAGAGAGGAGGGACCCAGCGAGGGGAGGACAGATGAGTGAAGTATGGAGGATGGGAGAGACGAGGGGGCCAGTGAGGGTATCGAAGATGGCATCGATGATGGTGCTGAAGATGGCATCGAAGACGGCATTGAGGACGGCATTGAGGACGGCACTGAAGATGGCATCGATGAAGGCATCGAAGACGGCATTGATGAAGGAATCGAGGACGGCATCGAGGATGGCGCTGATGATATCGGCTGTGACGGAGGCACAGATGACGGCGCCGCGCAAACAGAAGCTAGAAAGAAAGAGTTCGTCGTTAGCGATGGTCCTCCGACACAAGAGCACGAAACCAAAACCAGAGCCAACTTACTCGAGACGGCAAACAGCCGCGTCACAAAGCAGTTCAGTGGATAATCCGTGCCGTCGGGATCGGTAAACGTGGCATACAAGACGTCTTGGTCGTCGAGACAGAAGCCTGCGCGGCCGCCGAAGAAGCTGGGATTGACCCACGCGAGCTCGTCGCCAAGGAGCGTGAAGCTGGTCGCAATGTCGCCACCTGACGGTACATCAAGTGGAGACAGGGCCACAAAGGTGATGTCCTGCCCGGTGACGACCGGACTGCCGTTAGAGTCGAGACGGCCTCCGTCACCGCCGGTCGTGAGGGTGAAGGTTGTCGCTGAAGCACACTCGTCAATGCCGACGGGGCCCGAGTTGCCGACCAGCAGGAGGTCCTCGTTCTGGCGCCTCCCGTAGGCCCGCGCGGCTCGGCGGATGGGCGGTGACGTAGGCGCCTCTTCGCCGCCGCTCGGCTGATCAATGTCGTTTTCGCCGATGGAGAGGAGGAATGTCGTCGACTCGCTCGTTGGCACCGTCACACTGGATGACACGCCCGAAGGGGGGATGATGGTGGAGCTGGGCGACGCGCCGTCGGCCTCTTTGTCGTAGACGACCAGTCTGCGGTTGCCGCTGCAGATTTGCGTCATGTTCCCCAGACAGGTCTGGTCACATTCTGCCTCGGGCACGAGTACTGAGTTGCCTCGGAGCTCGTTGCGACACGCGCAGCGGAAGCGGAAATATGTGGCGAAGTAGCGATAGTCGGTGCACAGCTCTGCGCAGAGATCAAGCGACATGTCGAACTCTTCGAAATCTTGACCGTCAAAGCCTGGGTCCTCCATCACGTCCGTCGAGTACGTCTGGCAGCCGACACGCTTGAAGGGGCCGACGACGGGTGGCCGCGGGTCGCCTTGGCCGTCCCCATCTCCGCCGTCTCCATCCCCGTCCCCATCACCATCGCCATCACCCTCACCTTCGGGAGGCTCGCCCATGTCGTACAGGGCCATGCGCGTGTCGCCGCCACAGTACTGGTCCTCGTTGCCACCGCACGGGGTGCTGCACTGCTCCTCATCGGCAAAGTCGGTGGCGTTGAGAGTTTCGTCGTCACACAGACACTGCTGGCCGTCGACGACACCAAAATATTGGAGTCCGTCACAAAAGGTAGCGCATGTCTGCAACGTCATGTCGGTGCTGGTGGTCGATCGAGCGAATTCGGTGAGGCCCGAGGTGATCCGGCATCCGCGCCGAAAATACGGCCCCACAACGGCCGGTCGGAGCTCCGTGCCTCGGTCGTACAGCGCTACGCGCTCCACGCCGCCGCAGAAGACGGACGCGTCACCAGCGCAGGGCGAAGAACACTCTGCATCGGGCCCAGGGACACCTTCGGGGTCGCTGAGCTCGTCGCCACAATAGCAGGTGTTGCCCTCGGCAGCGCCGAAGTACCGGGAACCTTGGCATGTCGTAGCACACGTCTGTAGCGTCAGGGATGGGTCGACAGTGGGCTCGCCCGAGAGGACGAGGCCACCAGTAGATGTTGACTGGAAGCAGCCGAGTCTGTTGTAGTTTCCGACAATGACTGGAGATGCGTCGGCGGGATCCGCAGGGTCGGGGTTCTCAGGATCAGGGTTCTCGGGCTCCTCAACATCGGGCGTCTCTGGCCCGTAGACTGCAAACGCATCCACGCCACCGCAGAGCACGTCGGACTCTGTGCATGGCACATTGCATTGTTCCTCGTCCACTTGTGATGTGCCTGACGCTCCGCCGCACGAGCACGTATCGCCGTTCCGCACGGCAAAAAATGCTGCCCCTTGCCCCGTGCAAACCCCCGCACAGTATTCAAGTGTCGTGGTAGCCGGCGACTCGGTGTATGTCGCATCAAACGTCTGGAAGCACCCAACCCGCTGGTACTCGCCTACCTCGGCAGGGCGAGCCGGATCTGCTTGCCTCGCGATGACGGCCGCGCCAGGTTGTGTCGTGCCGGTGGCGAGCCCGAGTGCAGACGCGGCAAACACGGCCGTCGCCGACACGACCACTTTCGCAAACCGCGCCATAATCCAAACAATATCAATCAAAACCCCACAAAAAGAGTGTGA